TCTATGGTTTCGAAACTATACGATGTACGTATTGATCAAATATGGATCAGATTTCTATGTCCATGATTTTCTCAAGGCAACAATAAACACATCAGCCCAATCTAGACCTAAAATATAATTATGCGTTCTGTGGGTTTCTTTTTCTATCTTTCACTTCTATTCAGGTGCATTGGTGTTTTAGCATTCTACTGTGATTAGGCCATATTAATCGTGGGATTACAACTTTGTTTGCAGTGTTATTCCTGGCATTACTTTAGTAACAAAATGTTGTTTTTCACATTTAAAATTACGAAGTTACACACTTTGAGAGACTTGCCACTGACAGTTTACGCACGAGAAGTGACAATTAGCGCATCAAAACTGATGCATTATAACTGAGAGTCAGGAGTTGGCTGATGATGTCGACATATGCGGAATTTCGTCTTCTTTTTTCAACTTCTACCAAGGAATCAATATCGGCCAATAAAGAAGAGAGAAGAAATAGATTGAATATTGATTCATTTTACCCATCCATTTTACTACCAACTCATCTAGCAAATCTGAACTGGATTTTTCAAAAACATATAATGATAATAAAAAACGCCTTTACTACTACAACCAGAAAAACAAAAAAATCACAGTATTAAGTTCTAACTACGTTTAAAAAAGTTATAGTAAAAGGCGAAGTTTAATTTTTGAGCTATGCATATAACTGCTAAAATAACAACTGAATGACAACAAAAAAACTCATAAAAATATATACAAACGTAATCAACGACATGATCTAAGTCGTTTCATTTGTTTTCTAAATCTTGTCCACATTGATTTTTTTTTCCAAAAAAATATGAGATTATAACATGTCAAAGGTGAAAATGAAAAAGTACCTACTTTTGCAAATCTTTATAGTTCGTGCCTAGGTGTCCACATTCCCGAATTGTGCCCATTTTGTCACAATTATGCTCCAGATAACAATGTTCTTTGTAAATTCCTATATTTGACTTAGTAGGCACGCGCAATTATCAAAGTTACCAAATTTGTGAATATATTACGAAACTGTGCAACTGGCAACTCTGCATTACAATTACAATCAAATCTTTGGTTACAAGTTACAAATACAATGTCAACATGTCAACAATGTCAACCTCTGTCATGGCTACCTCAGGAATGTCTAAATGTTTGTTTATAATATTACTATTTCATTCTATAAAAGGTGAACAAAAGTCATACTTATGTAAACAAAATAATTCTTAGTTACTTTTATTTTATTCTTTCTACATGTAACATTATTCTATGCCATTCCAGGAGAGGTCTGGAAACAACCACAGCTGAGAGAGGATTCAGATGATGATTATGATTCATTCAATCCACTCGATCCAGGGGAACCTCCTCCTGACTTACTCGTCCAACAAGGTTACTCGAACTCCATACACTCTACACAACTCAAACGTTACAAGTGCCACTCTTGTGAGCCACCTGACTGTTCTAATCTCTCTGTGTGTACTAACGCGTTTCAGTGTTGGAAATCCAGAGTACGAGAAAGCTCGGGAGAAGAAAGTGTAACAAGAGGATGTACTATAAGTCAAGAACAACTTCCGTTGTACTGTAGGACTCCTGCAGTAACTATCCAACACAAGCGGCAGGCCAGCGGACAGTTTCAGATCGACTGCTGCATAGGGGATTTTTGTAATGACGGCCCGTTTCCCGAACTGCCTCCATTGTATCAGGAAGCTTCAGGTCCTTATTCTGATTCTTTAATATATGGTTTGAAAATTTTTGCAGCCATTCTTGGTCCGTTAGCGGTGTTTGGTGCAATTGGAGTTATAGCTTTGTATTTTCTAAGGAGGTACTACAGAAATAGGTAAGTTTATAGGCAACAGGCAATTTCTTATTCATATTTTTTCACCAGCAGTGAAAAGGTAGCAAATGGATATACTTACGACTGAGAATTTTATCAATCAAATTGATAACAACTATCATCAAGATAGCTTAGATCAATTCATGTAAAATCAGTTTACTTGAAAATGGTTTAACAAACCGAAACTGATCATAACAAATAAAAAACTTGGTAGAAATGAGACAAATGTTATTTTCATTATCCTAAGTACATTCACTATGCATTCAATTCGAGTTCATTGATTTCTAAGAAACCTAGATTTTTTAATAGTTTACTCAACACAAAAAATATCTAAAACTTAACTGCATGTATCGATTTCTGTGAAAATCAGACATTTTATAGCAGGAAGATATGGAATCCATCAGCTTTTTCTACTCTCAGTTTGAGACAGATGAAGTCATTAGAACACATCTTAGACTATTTAAAAGATATTTTCTTTGAAGAAGCTGTTGTGGACTCTACTTACAACGTTTACATTGTTAGTTTGAGCTTTATCTTCTCTTCCGTCCTTTCATAGAACACCTGTGTTATGAGAGGCTGTATACCTTTTACATGCAACATATTGATATATTCAAAATTAATATTTTTTGGCGGGAAGATATTCTGAGTTCAAGCAGGATTATTCTCTCAACCACCCCAAGCTGCATATAACTTTATGAATTTCTTCAAAATTAGCATTGTTCATAGAAGGCTGGTGCCACGGGACTTTTTATCAAAAACTTACGTTGCTTAAGGTAATTAGCAGTGTCGGTTAATTTTATTGTTTCAATTCAAATTTCATATTAACAAGCTGTCCAGTCTACAAGTCTACAGTTGCTTTGTTTTTGGGCTCTGGTTTCGAATAGTTGCCATGCAGTGAGAGACAGAGGAGAATTCTCATTTGACAGTTGATGTCGAAGGTTGGCTTTGAATTGGGCTGACTTGGGGAGCTTTGTTCATCTTTGATATTCATGGATTGACTCTTCTGTCAATCCCTAGATGGCATCTGCGTAAGGGAAGATGTCATCACCTTCATTTTCTCTGGCTTTTATTTTAAGGATGTTTGAGTCTAGCAAATGCCTTTGACTCCATCCTCTAATGAGAACAATGGCAGGTCCAAACAACACTATCCGGTGTTGGATCACAAATGCTTTGTTTTTGAAATCTGGTTTCAACTACATTTTCCTTGTTACTGCATACTATTTTCCGTAAAAAAGTTGCATACATTTCAGTTAGAGAATTGAATATTTCGATTATTTTCAGGTTATGCAATGATCATCGGATGGACCCTGATACGTACTTTGCTTCTGATGATTTGCTCAGGGCAACTGCAGCTGGGGATAGTACTCTGAGAGAGTACCTGGAACATTCAATGACATCTGGTAGCGGTTCTGGATTGCCACTTCTAATCCAGAGAACTTTAGCCAAACAAATATCATTAGTAGAATGTATTGGCAAAGGCAGATATGGAGAAGTATGGAGAGGTATTTGGCATGGGGAAAGCATTGCTGTAAAGATATTTTTCTCTAGAGATGAGGCCAGTTGGACAAGAGAAACTGAAATATACAGGTAATTGGAAGTAATGTTTTGTTTAGAAAATCAATTTTAATTCAGTTGATTTACTCAGTTATTTTCAAATATACTAAAATGATAATTGGTTGATATGAATAAAGTCACTTTCTGTATTTTTTTAAATGTTTTTTATAGAAGAAAAATTCAGATAATTTTTTAAATTGAATACTAAATATATTTACATGAAATCCCAGCACACGTTTGGTTCTGGGATACGTACCAAAAACATGGAGACTAATTAAGGTCACCTTTATTTCGAAACCTGAGAAAATCGGACAGGATCAGTCAGTGTTATGCTATTTCAATTGAAAACATCAGACAGGCATATTTGTTCATTTTTATTCATTTTCGGGTAAACTTCAGTTGGAAAACATCACTCACATTTCACTTATGTGGAACACTATCATCCCCAGTGGCGGACTTTGAAGTTTCGGAATAAGACACTTGTCTTATTACCTTATCAACACCGTTCTGGATAATATTACAAGATGAAACTCTTTTCATTCGTAACATTGAGACTTTATGTGATGGATGAGCCAAATTTACTCATATGATGACAGTATGTGAAGACATTATTTGATTTAATGCCAGCCATACGAATCTTGTTTAAATTGAAAAGGCTACATTTTCAGGAGGGATTGGTTGTTGTGAAAAAGGCTTTATGGCTTCAACTCCATCTTTATACAAAAAATTGTGGGAGAATTTGAGAGAAGGAAGAAAGCCATTAATTTCAAAATAAGCTCCTTACAAAGATGTGTAGATCATGCATAGAAGTTACTCTCAGATACAAACTGGAAGAGGAAGACCTTCCGAAACAACTACTTTCACATGAACATTGAATTACACGAAATTCTTCCAAAGAAAGGAAGGAAGTAATCAATTTGAAAATAAGTAACTCTATACATGGATGTGTAGATCATGCAAAGAAGTAACTTTCAGACACAACATTGAATTACACGAAAGAAAAAATTCTTTCGAAACAAATACTTCTATATGAACACTGAATTATACAGAAGATACTTTTCATTATTTAGTTTGTATTTCAAACATTCGTTGTGGAATAAAATCAGACATTATTCACATGAGTTCTACTTTAAATGAATGGTAACAAATTGCACTTACATGGAACACTGTCATCCTCACTGGTATACATCGATGTGTCGGCGTAAGACACTTGCCAAAAACTTTCTTTCCCAAAAATTAATCACTCCTAAAAATATAACCCCTTCAATTCATATAAAAAAAGTAATACAGATGCTTAATATATCTAATTTTACCATTTGAAATACCTACATTTCAAGTACCTGAGTTTTACTTAGCCATTTAATGTTTTATGTGTACCTGAGTAATAAATTAAATGATCTGAGCTTATGTACCAGTTTCTACATTTGAAAAAATGTTTATTAACAGGGAGTTATTTGATTCTTTTTGGTCATTCAAAAAATTACCTTGAATCTATTCATTTCTAGACATTCTAGAAGATTGAGTTTCAAACTTTTCTCTTCTAAATGTAACACTAAATGAAACTAATTTTATTGCAAAGTACCCAGATTCAAGGTTTTTACAAAATTTCGAAATGTATTCTTCGAATGTAAATTTCTGGTCTATGAGTAGCCCTAAAAATGTTGTTTGTTGTATTTTCTTAATTTCATTTTTATCTTCTTTGCTATTTTTTTGATAACGTTGGTACCGATGTTTTGAATACATTGGGTAAAAATTAATTAAAATCTCATCAGTTTCTCAAAGTCATATTGTCGCAAAATTTGTAAAATATTATTATTAAAATGTAACAATAGAGTAGATCCCAAAACAGATCACTTCATATGTTACTCCTGAGACATTCATTACTGATTTTTGTCATAAATAATACCTTTTAATCGTACTAGTATTGTGTATTATCTATAATTTGCCACAACCTACAACTCTACTGCTTACTATAATTTTGATTCTGCTATAAACTAGTAACGTAAAATTTAGATATGACAACGCGCTTTACTCTCAATCATTATTGGTTTTACTATAGATAAGTAGCACTGTAAGAAGAGGAAAGTTGACATCCTGAACAACATACCATTCTGTTGAATTTTTATGTTTTTGTTTATTATTTTAAACATTATTTCTAACAAAATTTTGAATAAACCTGAAAAATTAAAAACGATTCACATATAATCATCTGTAACACAATATATTTCATGAACTTTTGGGAGAAAATTTTTGAAAACAACTTAAAGAAAAAAGAAACAGTATTGAAATAATAATAATAATGTAAGGAATGATAATAGTAAAGTTCACTTGTTTCGTTCGAGGTTAAAGCAGATTTAACATAGCCTGGGCAACTTACCAAGAAATCAAGAATTTGAATTGAAAATCCTTAGTGACAAAATATACATAATTAATTTTAAGTTTTTGGTGATTGTTACAAAGTGAGATTCTAAGTTGATTTGACTGGAATTCCGAATAACAAAGTATTTAAAAAATTATAACAATTTATATCACCTTCTGAACTTTTGTAGACAATTTCATTCGAGAATTTGTTCATTTTCAGCACTATTTTACTTCGACATGAGAATATTTTAGGATATATCGGATCTGATATGACTTCAAGAAACTCCTGTACTCAGCTTTGGCTGATTACACACTATCACTCATTAGGTAGTCTGTACGATTACCTAAATTACACTTCTTTGTCTCATCAGCAATTAATGAGACTGTGTCTGACACTAGCCAATGGTTTAGTTCATTTGCACACAGAAATATTTGGAACACAGGTTAGTAGCTTTTTCCTAGTGACACTGTAACCTTTCAGTTTTATTTTCCAAAGCATTCTTAACATTTTCTTCGAAATATCAAAATAGTGCAATTAACTTAATTGATGAGTTAGATTTACCTATAATGATTTTTTATTACTCTAGGGAAAACCGGCAATAGCTCATAGAGACATCAAAAGTAAAAATATCTTAGTGAAGAGTAATGGTACTTGTTGTATAGCAGACTTTGGACTGGCGGTTACCCATTTTCAGTCTAATGATTATTTAGATATAGGATCCAATCCCAGGGTGGGAACAAAACGTTATATGAGTCCTGAAGTTCTTGACGAGTCGTAAGTATGAGATAAATGAGCAACCTAATATAAGTGCAATACAGATAATTAGTATTTAACCAGTCATTTTTTGTTGAGGAAAATCAGATTATTGAGTATTGAAAGCTTCTGCCTTTTTATTATATCATTGAAATGGAGGTGATAGAGCCAAAAAACGAAATTGAACAATTCTAGTTTTTGGCGAATAATTAAAATGAAAAACACTGATATTCTTGTTCTGAAAAGAGGTTATTGTAGTTCCCCAAATTGTTTACATTTTCCAGATTGCTGAAGGTAAAAATACTCAAAGAAATTTGATGAAAGATAATTTGTATTCAATCAACACTATGTTGTGAAATTTCCACTGAACAGTTTACAAAACCGCAACACTTGCTTCAGGATTGTTGCAGTTTTGTAAACTGTTCAGTGAAAATCTCGCAATAAACTGTTACTTGAATGCTTTATGGATTTTCATCACATAAACGTTCCAGTCAATTCCATTGCATAGTTAATTATTCATTTTCAATACCTTTCTTTCAGCCTATTAACTAGTTGTGTTTTAACCTAAGAAAAATATGTAATATTCACAATCAACTTATCATGTCTTTGCATTTGAACGAATTAATAATAAAAAACATTTTTCAAAACAAGCTTTCATCAACATGCTCTAAATTTATTTGATATGAAAGCTTGGCACAATTTTTTTTTTAAACATAATTTTTTTCTTTGAATTACTTATATCAAGATCAAATTACATTTTGTATTTTTCTTCATCTGCACAGGTAAATCTATAATATATGAAAATTTCCGAAGATGAAAATAATTTTTGAAACTTTTTCATATTTTGATTTCCATATAAATAAGGTGAACTTATTTGTGCATAGGCTTGTAACATTTTACTATTTTTGATTTTGTTTTGATTTAACTTATATGTGCACAAGATGTTAATTGTATCAGTAATGTCATGCCTGTTTGAGAACTACCTTTTATTGACATTGTTTTCTTCAATCTGGGTCACGTTGATGACTTTTTCTTTCATTGTGAATTGAAATTTTTGAAAATGAAACAGTGTTTTATTCTATTTTTTGCATGGCCGATCGCTACAATATTTGTTTGAGCTTCAGGAGGTGCACACTTCTATTTGTACATACTTACATATATATTTTCATACATACGTACATACATCCATCCATACATGCATTCATAAGCATACATACAACCGTACAAACATGCATACATACAAGCATTGATATATGCATACATGCATGCATAAATACACACATAGTTTACATATAAACATAGGAACATACATGCATAGCGTTGATATATAGCAATTATACTATACATATATAGCAAGTAAAACGTAGAGATTGTAAATTGTTTGAAATCATAAACGAGCACTACTCAGTATATTAGTATTCTTGAATAATTTAGCATTACATTTGAAGTTTTGTGCAGTAACTTAATTGATTCATGTGAATAAGATCAGGAGGGATTATGTTCTATTTTATTTATTTATTTAATTACGGACTTGCCATTATACAATGAACACATANAGAAAAATATAGATAATTCCAGTGTTAAATTCCAGTTGTTTTAATTATTAGAATAATTTGAAATATATTAATTTAAAAATTTAAATATCAAATTTTTATTTGTAGTTTATTGAGCTGTAGTTTTCATTATTAGAATAATATCAACAACATAGAGAGAAAAACCCAATAAAAAAAATAGTTTTTTTTTCTTGAAAAATCAGTTGTTTTAAACCTTGGTTTAAACCATGGTTTCAAGCATGTTGGTTTGAACCTGCCAACCCTGGTCAGAGCTATTTTCTGGTTTTTTTGGCCATGTTTTGCAGGTTTTTATGCCTGGAGTTTCGTTTATAACGACGGTAGATATCAAAGGCGATGAGATAACTGTCGGAGTGCTCGAGTTGTTGTTCCCAATGCAGAAATCACAATGACTCAGGTTTTCTATTATCGTAGGTGGGCGGGGCTTGGTTTGGGCGTGGCTTGAAAAAACAGATAATTTCAATAGAAAAGGAGAGGCAATGAACATTAATGAAATCTGGCTACCTGTCCCTGATAGTATCCAAAAACGGTCAGGTAATTCAATTAAGACAAACCAAGCCACGCCCACCTATGATAAAATAAAACCAGAGAGAAATTCCACTATTGTGGTTTCTGTGTTGAGAACAACGGGGAACAACAAATTGAACACTTTGACCGTTACTCCATCACCTTTGATAATGTCTACTTTGACACAGTTATCTTCGGCCGTGAAAGATTACATTCTTTGAGCAAGATATACTGAAGTTTTCAAAATTGGTCCAGAAAGTTACAGAGTATTTTTACTCTTTTGGAACATATTCATGACCAATTTTTAGTTTCAGATAACAAATATGTAGTATTTAAGATTCTCAGAAATTTTGCTTTATTCTACTCATACAAGGGACTACATATATTTACAATCTTAGCATGACGAGTGTTGTCAGGTGCTATCTGATGTTTCAAATAAAACCTTTACTTATTCAGAATATTTAAGGCAGTATGCATCAATTCAGAAATTTCAGTTAAGAATATCGATGAAGTAAAAGAAGTTCTGATTTGGCACCAATTGACTTTTTTTATTTCTGAATTGCGTAGACATGATTTTTTTCCGAACAAAAAAGCCATTGGTGTATTCAAAAACATGTTTTAGAGCTGTCACTAACCGAGCACAATAGAAAAAACACTTTGAGAAGTGGTTTGAATGCATTCCAAAGTGAATGGATATTGAAAAAGAATATTTTGAAAAACAAAAGTATTTTCAGACAAATTACTAATTTTTTAAAACTTTTTAATCTCAAATCATGAATAGTGTCCATTGTATCCAAGTATTGTGATAATATTCTTAACTCTTAATGATGATGATGATGATGAAAGTAAACTTTTTATTCATGGACAAAAACGGTGATATACAATAGTATTATACTTCCCCATTTGAACTATTGTTCCACTATTTTATACCTACTGAACCAAAGCCAAATTAACAGGTTCCAAAAACTACAAAGCGATCGATGCATATCATTTTGTCATGTAGCAGACGCACTCCCTTAAAAACCATGTTGGACAGTTTAGAATGGTTGGCAATTAAAGATTATCTGTTATACCAGATAAATACTTGATTGATAAAATAAGTTACAATTTTGAACTGCACCAATACCCAACCAGATCAAGAAATTGCTTTTACTTACCTCTAGTAAGGACAAAGACTTCTCAAAATTCTGTCTTTGTTAAAGGACTCAAAGCTTTCAATGGTGTAACCCCAAAATTGAAGGATATAGATTCTATTGACCTTTTCAAAAAGTTATTAAAAAAATATATGATGGAAAAACGTAATGAGACTTGACGTTTATTTTATAAACACACAGTATCTATATTTGTTGTGAGACGTAAACTGCTAGTATAGAAACTTTTTATATATATTTAACTTTTTCTATATGACGACATTAATTTGATTTTTTATATTTTTTATGTATTCGCAAGATTTTATGCTAATATATTTGAGACGAGATGTAAATTAGTAATTAACAATTTTGTATGTATGAGTGTGTATGTAT